AAAAGTAACAAAGAAGTTTGAGTTTTCGATTTATGGAAAAACGCTAGACCTACTATTTTATATATGGTGAAGTCAATTTATCGAAGTTTCTTTCGTATTTATCTGTACGTATATAATTATCTGAATTTGATTACAAGGATTTTTTTATGATATGTTAGATAAGAAGTTTTGGTCAACTCGGGTGTACATCCTTTTTCAAATTACATAGATGGCATTTCAGCTGATAAGTAGGCCAGTAGAAATTTTAAGCTTTTGGATAGGTCTATCTATTTTTTACTGTTCATATCGTAATTTTAAGGATCCCAGTTTCATGTAAATTGATTTTTGTTTTGACGGCATTTAGTTGTAAAGTGTCTTTGGCATGAAACTTCCGATTGAACTTTGAAGATTTGTGAAAACTAACTTTGAAAAAGCTGACATGAATGAAAAACATTTTCTATTAAACGTGAAACTGATGGAATTGGAAATCGAATTAACTTTGGATTTGAACATAGTATTGAACTACACACAAGCAGACATTTGAAACAGTGTTAAAAAACAACTTTGATATTTTTGTACCATATGATGAAATGCAGTTTGAAAAACGGAAGAAAAGAAAATTCGAGAGAAAGTACAAAAAGTCTAAGAACCATCAAGATATTGTTTTGCTCAGAAAACAAATTTTTCATTTCAAGGTACTGTATACGAAGAAAAAAAGCGATCATTTCAGAAATGATTTTAGTAGACGAAACCAAGATAAAAATAAATTCAAAGCGCTGAATGATTTGCTAGGAAAAAAAACAATTTTGTTTTTCCAGACTTGAATCTTGATGCGAAAGAACTCCAATTTATTTTTTCGAGATAAAATAAGGCTAATTGTATCATCTTTTGAAAATAACAACGAGATTTTTGGAAATAACCTGAATTTTTATCGTCCTAAAACGAAAATTAAATTTATCTGAAAACCATTCGAAAAGATTATTTTAAATAACCTAAATGAGCAAATAGAGTCTAACGTTATAAGTTTGCATACAGAAAAAGACATTCCACGGAAACAGCGATAATCAAGTTCAATCTTTCTGGTATTTGAGAAGAGAAGTTCGATAATTTTGTTTTGTCTCAATTTATCGGCTGCTTTTTGGTACAATTGATTATAAATCTTTAACGATGATACTTCAAAAGCACAAACGATACAGTCATACCTTAGCGGAAGAAAGCAATGTGTTAAATGTTGGCTCTATGTTGGGACCTACATTGTTTAGTATGTATGTTATTCCGCTTGGAAAAATACTGGAGAGTCTCTCAAGGAGTTATCAAAAATATGCGGATGATACAGTCAGCTACTTCAGAATAGGCAACATTCATAATAATTGCAAACAGATTGACGAAAAAATGAACAGAATTATTGAATGGTTCGCATGACATGAATTGAAACTGAATGAAGGTAAAACTGAAATTATGCTTCTTAAGCTTAAAAGAAATTTCTATGATAGTGTTATCAATATTGATTGACAAAATTTAGAACCTATAAAAGAACTCAAACTGCTTGGTGTTGCCATTGATGATTGTTTTATTTTTGAAGAAAGAAATATCGTGAGTATGCATGACGTTAGTTGTTTGGCTGTTTGAATAAGCTGTATAACATCAGAAAGTAGTTGAGCTTTGACGATAGTCTATGCTCACTCGCGTTTCGATCAACAGTCGCCTTGATTTCTGCTATTCAGTATAGGTATTGCTGCTATTCAGTATATATACTGCTATTCTTTTTATAGCCAGAAAAAGAAGTTTTCAGATTTCAGAAGGTGCAAAATTCTGCATGAATAAAGCCTTTTAAATCAGGTTATTTCTACACGATCTTCACTGGCTACCGGTCTTACATAAAATAGATTACAAAATACTAATGTTTGTTCATAAAATAATATACAAACCCCATCTGGTGCCAATTTTCTTGCGATACTTGTTAAAACCAACCAGTCCGTAACGCTCGAAATCTGCTAGGAATGCGCTTAGAATTACCGTTAATTAAATCAAAAACTGGGAGTCAATATTCCGAGTTCTACGGACCATGCTATTGAAATCGTTCACCACTTGACTTACTAATACAAAAAACTAACCAAAGTTTTTGAAAAATTTGAAAACTTATTTGTTCAGAAAACCTTTTTTTTTATCTAAAAGAAAACAACAGTGGCTATCTGCCCTGTTGGAGTTTAACGTGAGGAGGAAATTGAACGTCTTCTTTTGTGTTTCTGCTATGATTTGTAGTAACGTACCCATTTGAGGGTCAATTTCTACTGCTAATAGCTGAAGGAGTTTTCGGAATTAGAAGATTGAATTTGTTTGCGAAACTGACAAGCAAACGAAGGAAACAAAGAACTTCAGATATCTATATCATGCCTTCAAGGAAAGATGCAATAATTGAGAGTCTGTAAACAAAAAGAAGAGAAAATTTCAAATCATTCAGAACATCAGTGGTCACTGAGTTAAAAAATTTATGCAAGCCGTCATAAGTGATTCAATTGTCAACGGCTGTTATTTGAATGATACAATTGTGGTGTCCTGTCCTGGAGCTGGCCTTAACATTTAAGCAGTCAGAATATTATGATTGGTCTAAAAAGCAAAAAGGTTGAAAAGTTGCCATAATGGGAGGAACAACTGATCTAGTTGAACGGGTTGAAACTGATGGGAGTTTGTGTGAAATAGAAGAAAGAATGACGAAACCGGTAACATTAAATAAGAACGAAAACCTCAAAATTGTCTTGATAAAATTGATTGGACGGTCTGGGAAAAGAAATAAGAAAAAAACTGTTGATTAAAAACTTGCAAGAGAACTTGAAATTGCCTATCATGAAACTAAGTTTGGAATGAGTTTCTTTTCCCAGGATGGTTTGCACCCGAAACCAGAAAAATTTCATGATTTGATCAAAGATCTGTTTTCTGCTTATGAGCTCCTTTGCTAATGTACCCATTCAAGGGTCGACTTGCTGAGGAGTGAAAGAGCTCTGAAGTTCTCAACTGGCTCGAGCCTTTTATTGTGATGAAATTATGATGAAGTGCAATGAAAGAAAAGACCGAAAAAATCAATCGAAAGCAACTCAAACCCAAAAAATACGAAAAACAACCGACCAAACCACTCAAAAGAGAAATTTGAAAACGTATCAACTAACACCTCTGAGAACAAGAAGTGGTGCCTAAATGAAGGATGATGATGATGATGATGAAAAACAACAGTTTAGTTAGCTCAAAATCATTTGGTCACAGCTGTTAAATTTGGATGAACATCTTTGATATTTTTCAATCAATCAGGTAATATCAAAATAATTATACATGATTTGGTTATTGTTTGTCGATGCAAATTACAAATTGAGAGAAGCGTAAGTTTGAAACCACCTTTTCTCGATGCTACAACCAACTGGAACAATGTGGGTTTACACAATTAACACTCTGAAAGATTGTGACGTTTATTTTTAATAGTATGCTGTGCGCCAAAAAAAGACACGCTGTGATTTATAAGTAGTCACGAGAACCTTGGTAGGAGCAAAAACTTTGTCTAAACTAAAATCCTTCGGAGCAAATCATGAAAACTTGAGTTCAGGCGCGGATTTAATAACGGGAAGCAAACGTCAAAAATGTTGTTTTTATATTGTCCTGGTAGAGCTCGGGAAATCATTTTGTTCGTCAAAAAAACCAAAAAAAAAATTGGTTTTTTTTAAATGCCACTCCCTCGAGATGATCCGCCCTTGATTGGGTTTTTAAAACATAGAGCTCAGCTAATTTGCTAAACAAACTTTGATGAGCCAATTCAACGCCTCTCGACTTGTTTAAATGGTAATAATTGGGCTTCCAACTGCTTTATATTGTCATGCGCTTTCTGCATTGTCATATTTTTACTCATCAAAACGATTTCATTGCTGAGGAATAGCGCTTGTATTGATATAGTTTTTGTTCATAATGGGGATCTGTTTTGATGTCACACAGTTTGACAATTGAAATCTATAATCAAAAAGTATCAATGTTGAAAAAACAATCCGAATATTTGTAAGTTGCAAAAACAGATAAAAACACCCTGAGCATTTTAATAGCATCAACTATATCATATTCTGCTTTGTCGTCAATCAAAAATTGGTTGTCCTGGATGAAAAGGAATTCTGTATGTGTTCTTAACGGCACCTGAAGTCAATATTTTGAAAAAAAAAACAAATATTCAAAAAATCAAAGCTTGTTCGCTTTTCTATCAAGCTCCGGGTTATAGACTCTCTAACAAGATTACAAAAATTATAACAAAGATTAATTGAAGGAAGATGTTTTTGGCGTTTTTTTCTTTTCCAGTGGATATTTGAATTAAATTTTAAAATAAACCGTGATCGCTTTCAGCTTTTTAAGCTGTTTTAGATTTAAATTTTAAACCTCTTAAAAGTGGTAAAATGCTGAGTAATTTTTTTCTAAATTTACCATCACTTAAACCCATTTAAGAAATTATTTCTAAAAAGCACAGTGGAAAAAGGAAAGTTTTAACAAATTAAAGTTTATTTTAGGAGCAGTTTTTGCCATTCCTGTCTTAAGTAAATGTAAGCAAAACTGCAAACCATGAAATAATTGATGTTGATGAATGGTACTCTTTTTAATTTCCCCCCGAGCATAATGAGTTTTATCTATAACGCATAATGGTCTATTTATTAAAGTTTTAGTTGATTTTTTGTTGATTGAAAGGGTTTCGGTTGAGGGCACAATCAATATGTGCAATATTATTCTGAAGTAGCAAAAATCAAAAGACAAATTTAAAAAATCAACCATAGTGTCTTCCCATTCCGTGAGTCATCGGAGCAATGAAACTTACACCAGCATCCAACCCACTCATTGAGATACTCCTAGATCCGTCGCTGAGTTATGAAGATCAAATATGTCTGCCATGGCCTAATTAGTCATCGTGTCGACTTTCATAGCAATCGGATGATCCGAGCAAAATTTTTACTAGTCAAGAAACTCGCAAGTGGAGAAAAAGAGCTGAAATAGAGAATAAAAACGCGAGTTCATTCGTTCAATTGGTGGCAAAATAAGATATCCAATCTATCTCATTCATAACAGAATATGTTGTGCTTTGGCATTTTTCACTGATTTGATAAAATGGTAAAGATTGTTTCTTTCTCTAAATAAGTGCAACTTTGGTTGAAAATTATCCACAAAAGTACAAGCAACATTGTTTATCATTTGAACTAGTAATATATTTAACCTCAACCAAGTTGCTAGTCTGAAAGAACGCTGAAAAAATTACCATCACATCCTAATTCAATTTAACTTAGACATAAAACGAGACGAGAGTTCCAAAGTATTCAATCGAAGCTGTTTCGGGTATTGTCAAGAATGGAATAAACGCAGAAGTGTGCTTTGGTTTCAGGTCTAGATTTTGGTGCCATTATTTTTACCCCCCTCTGAGGTTATGCAGCTGCTGCATGTAATTTCTTCTTCCCACGTTTCCTGCCTGATCTCCGGTGACCTGTGCCCCCCTTTTGATCTTAAGGGGGTCTCCTTCCTCTCCGCCAACTGGGAAGGAGGAGCTGTAGTCGACTGTTGTGAGGTCATCTAGGGCGGAGATCACTCCGACACTGTTCGCCGGTTCCTCTCGTTTCATCGGCTGGAAGTGGGCTGCTAAAAATAAATACCATTCAATTTGCTACAACAAACTTGTATCATTACTGTGCGTCTCCAACAGTTTGAATAAAAAATGGAGAAGCGCAACCTCGAAATGAATGATAGGACCGATGAGTTTCACCATTGAATTGAACTGTCAATGCATTTTGTTTTTTTTTAAAATTAATGGTCCACGCAAAAAATTGTAAAACAGTTTTCAAAATTTCCGATCAATGATCTGCAAACTGCAATAGAGTCGGCACGTATTTTTCAAAAATTCAATAATATAACGGTCGTTGCAAAAATCTTTTTAAAAAACTTGAAACACAAAGTTCGGCGCGTCTTCAAGGTTCAATTCATAATAATGGCAGTGCAGTGAAAGTTACCTGCGAAAAAATTAAGGGTTTTTACAGTTTATAGCCACATTTTGGGTCGTAAAATGCTACGAGCTACAATCAGATGTGAGACAATTTCTTGACAACAATCAAGTTGCAAGAACAGCAACAGTCTCTCCCACCCCCCCCCCCCCCCCCCCCCAATTCTGGGTGCCAAATTTTTTTCAAACGACCCCCCCAATTTTTTGGTCCTTTTTTTCTTAAAGTGCTCAAAACTTCATTTTTAGTCTGTTTTTTTTTTAAGTCTATCCTTTAAAAAATTTCTGCGCACGCCACTGCAGATACTTAAGAAAATGCAACAGCAGAACAAAGTATGTGAGAAAGAGGGAAAAACTGAACTGATAAATTGGCCCAAAAAACAAAGCTATCTTGTGTACAAGGATCAACGTATAAGTTTGTCATACCCACCCAATGAATTTAATTTCTTATAGTAAGGTCATCTCGAAATGATAAGAGTTCACAGGAGTTTAATGAGCTGCAGCCTTCATCTTACAACCTTTCCATAAGTTATCAATTTTCTTGTTATCTTGGACTTACCAAACAACTCTAAGTAATGTTTATCACTACAAGTTATTTTTTGAAAAGAGCATAAGGACAGTTTGTATTTGAGTTTCAAATAAAAAGTTAAAATTAGGCATACATTAGTACGGAAGCCTTTATCTTTGCATTTGCTTTTCATGCTTATCAAAGTTTCAAACATTTTGGACAATTTTGAGGGTCTTTGAGGAGAGGCTAATTTCGGCTTCAGAATTACCATTTTGGGTCAAATTGATGATTTTTTTTCAAAGAAAAATCGAAGCCTCAAGGCTCTTCATTTTCACACAGTCTTTCACTAGGGATGCTTCATAAGTTAAATCGAATTTGAGAAATCAAAAAAAAAACAAAGTTTATTTTTTACAGGCGTTATTTAATATAAAATAGCTTTGAATCTTCGATTGAAATTCGTTTTTCAGAAACCTGTTTGCTGCGGCGAGAGCAAATTGACTTTTTCCGAACCTAACGACAGCAAACTATATTCCCCATATGGCAATAACCATAACTTGGTGAAGATTCAGTTCGATTCCTTATTATACCTTTCCGTAAATTTGCCTTTCCTGATGAAAGATTCTCAATCTTTTATCTATTTAGCCGAAATAATAACTAACCATTGTGTTGAGAAAAATGTAGTGCTTTGTGTTCATTGTGTGATCATTTAGAAAAGGTATGAAGAAAATGCCTTTTTTGTATTTAATCAGCTCGTATTTGCTTTATGGGAAAAATTGATTGTATTCACGCTCAGTTTTTTGCGTTAATTTTTCACCTTTTCACCAAACTTAATTGCTCATTTGATGTCAATTACAACTCCTCGTTATCAATAAATCT